GCCTTGCTTCTCTGCTTACTCGCCCACCTTGGCGTCACTGAGGGGCAGCCCTGTGCCTTGTTTAGCCCCCTGTAACCCTTCCCCTCTCTGCCCTAGCGGCTCAAGGATTACCAGCGGCGCCTGGACTTGACTCACCTGCGGCAGAGCAGCGACCCTATGCTGAGCGAGTTCAAGGTGAAGCAGTCACCTTTGCCCCCTCAGCTCACTGGCCCTGCTGCCCAGGGGGTTCTGATAAGTGTCGCACAGCTGAGATCGCACCCAGGGCACCTCTGTCTCCTCCCCAGTTGCGTGTCCATGGTGACCCGGCTTCACCCCTGGTCCTTGGCTGTCCTGCTTGCTGCCTCCTTCCCTTCTGTGTCCCTTCCTGCCACTTAGCTGCCCTTGGCCCCTTCCCACCTCAGAACCTAGACATCACTAAGAAGAAGTTGGTCCATGAAGGTCCACTGACATGGCGGGTAACGAAAGACAAGGCTATAGGTGAGTGCTCCCTGTAGCCAGGGGAGGTGGGGGGCGGTCAGAGGTCATGGAGGTCAGGTGTGATCTTGCTGCCTCACCCAAAGAGGTCCACGTGCTATTGCTGGACGACCTGTTACTGCTGCTGCAGCGCCAGGACGAGAAGCTGCTGCTCAAGTCACACAGCCGGACGCTCACACCCACGCCCGATGGCAAGACCATGCTGCGGCCTGTGCTCCGGCTCACCTCTGCCATGACCCGAGAGGTGGCCACTGGTGAGCTGGGGCTGGTCATCTGAGCAGAGCTGCCCCATGAAGTAGAGAGTGGACCTCTCTAAGAGCCATAGAGCCCACTCTGAGACAAGACTGAGAAGGGTCTAAGTGAGGCAGAAATGGGCGGGGCCATGTAAGGGTGGCTCTCACACACACACACACAGCACACACACACACACACACAGCACACAGACATACACAGACACACACACACACACAGACACGGACACACAGACACACACACACACACACAGACACGGACACACAGACACACACACACACACAGACATACACAGACACACACAGACACAGACACACACACACACACAGACATACACACACACACACACACACACACACACTGTCATCCTCGCACTGGAGAGGCTAAGGCAAGAGGATCCGAGTTTGAGGTCAGCCTGGTTAAAAACAGCCTGGCGGTGGTGGCGCACGCCTTTAACTCCAGCACTTGGGAGGCAGACGCGGGCGGATCTCTGAGTGCAAGGACAGCCAGGGCTACACAGAGAAACCCTGTCCTAAGGAAGGAAGGGCAATAGAGGGAACTGCCTGCATTTACAGAGAAGCATAGTCTGGCCTGGTGGAGACTTTTCACAGTACTGGCTCCTGTTTAGGAGTTGTAGGTATTTAGGACATAAGGCAGAACCTCGGGGCAGAGAGTTCGGCAAGCATTGCTGAGAAGCTGTACTAGGACCACTGATGGCAGGGAGGCTCTGTGACCGTGTCCTCTGTGACCGTGTCCTCTGGGGTCACAGAGCCGGGGTCACAGGTCAAGGCAGCCTAGGCACTGGGGCCTGGTGTGATGAGGGCGGTGGAGGAAGACCTTGGTATTAGCAAGGCAGTGAGTGTGTATAAGTAAAGTAGTAGACAGTACCCCACGACGGAGGGGCACAGACTGGCAACCTCGGCTCCAGGCCCCATCTCTCCCCTCCCTATGCAGATCACAAAGCTTTCTATGTCATTTTTACCTGGGACCAGGAGGCCCAGATATATGAGCTGGTGGCACAGACATCGTCAGAGCGCAAGAAGTGAGTCCCCAGGGATGGTGTGAAGCTGTGTGTTCTGCTCTCAAGCACGCACGCATGCATGGGCCTTAAGTATGCTGAATGCCTGTGGTATTGGCCTGTCTCCCCAGCTGGTGTGTCCTCATCACTGAGACTGCCGGATCCCTGAAGGTCCCTGCCCCTGCCTCCCGCCCCAAGCCCCGGCCCAGCCCAAGCAGGTAAGGGGCCAAGGAGAGAGCTGCGAGCCAGGGGATGGAGACCGTGTCCCTGTGCATCCACAGAGCCCCAGCCCTGTCTCTGTACACACGCGTGTGTACACACATCTATGTGTGTGGGTGGGTGCGTGCGTGCGTGCGTGTACACTGACTCCGTCCCTGCCCACCTCCTGTCTCTAGGCCTCTGTCTCCTATTGTTCAGGCCTCCTCCAGTTATTTGTCCCCTGGCCCTGCTGCTCCCTTGGGAGCGGGATGTGGGGGTCAGTCACCCCTCACTTCCCTCCCTAGCACCCGAGAACCCCTGCTCAGCAGCTCTGAAAATGGCACTGGAGCCCGAGAGATGCCTCCAGCTGACGGTAAGTCCCAAGGTCACTGGCTTGGGGAGTGGGGGGTCACGGGAAACCAGGCAGGATCTGAGCCTTCCTCTTTGTCTGCCTACCCAGCCCGGACAGAGCGTATCCTCAGCGACCTCCTGCCCTTCTGCAGACCAGGCCCAGAGGGCCAACTTGCTGCCATAGCCCTTCAGAAAGGTAGGTCAGCTCTGCACCCGCTAGGTCCAGGAGCTAGGCAAACGGTGCCTCTGTCTGAACTAGAGAAAGGCTCTGTCTTTCAGATTCTCTGTCCACAAATCAGAAACTCTGCCCTGCCCGCACCATCGTGGGTGGCCCATGTCACTTTGTTCTTAAACCACCCTCCCTCCCTCGGCTCCCAGCTGGCCCCGGTCTTCAGTCTTCCTTACTTCCAGAATCCCAAGCCCCTGTCTCTGTGACCCCGGCTCTGTGACCCTGTCCTCTGTGACCCTGTCCTCTGTGACCCTGTCCTGTGTGACCCTGTCCTGTGTGACCGTGTCCTGTGTGACCGTGTCCTCTGTGACCCTGTCCTCTGTGACCCTGGCTCTGTGACCCTGTCCTGTGTGACCCTGTCCTCTGTGACCCTGTCCTCTGTGACCCTGTCCTCTGTGACCCTGTCCTCTGTGACCCTGGCTCTGTGACCCTGTCCTCCTTGCCTTGGCCAGTGCTGTCCCTGAAACAACTCTTGTTGCCTGCTGAGGAAGACGGTGGACTGGGGCCTCCCCGGGATGGGGACGGGGTGCCTGGTGGTGGTTCCCCAGGCCCAGTGCAGATTCAAGAGATTCAGGAAAACCTGCTCAGCCTAGAGGAGGCTGTCAAGCAGCTGGAGGTACGTCTAGGGACGGGGACCTTGGGGCAGGCTGCAGAAGGAGAGCCACCTCCCTCATCTCTGATCCCCTCCAGGAGTTAGAGGAAGAATTTTGCCGACTGAGACCTCTCCTGTCTCAGCTTGGGGAAGCCCTGTCACCCGGTGTGGCTGCACCTGCGCGCTCTGTGCAGACTGGTAAGTCAGGGCTGGGGCCAGGGTGCTGTCTGAGAGGGAGCGGCAGGGCGGGGGTGTGTGTGTGCGGGGCGGGGGTGTGTGTGCGGGGCGGGGGTGTGTGTGCGGGGCGGGGGGGGGGGTGTGCGGGGCGGGGGTGTGTGTGCGGGGTGGGGGTGTGTGTGCGTATGTGTGTGAGTGCGCGCGCACATGTGTGTGAGTGTGTGTGCGGGGTGTGTGAGTGTGTGCATGAGTGTGTGCATGCGCGCGTGTGTGAGTGCACGCATGTGTGCCCGTGCACTGTGTGTGTGTGAGTGTGACGGCCAGGGTGCTGTCTGAGTGAGCGGCAGGGCGGGTGTATGCGCGTGGATGTGTGTGTGAGTGTGTGCACGCGTGTGTGAGTGTGCGTGCGTGTGTGTGAGTGCGTGTGCATGTGTGTGAGTGTGATGGCCAGGGTGTGTCTGAGAGGGAGCGGCAGGGTGTGTGTGTGTGTGGGGGGGTGATACCCTGTCCCCTGTCCCCTGTCTGCCTCAGCCCTGTCCCTCCCTCCCTTTTCGCCCTCTACCCCCTTCTTCCGTCTCTCCTCGTCTCTGTCTTGTAACCCTCAGGCCTTTCATGAAGGGAAGGATGGGGAGAGGATGTGATGGTCCCACCCCACGGCTGCCACAGCGTCTCACCCCAGAGGCCTTGAGGAGAGGGAGACCGGCCACATCGAGGGGGCCTGCCAGCGTCCCCGCCTCCCACACTGGCCTCGCCTTTGTCCCTCCTGCCTTCGCTTGGGGACTCGGCCCCCCAGAGTGCCACCACACCCCCTCTCAGGCCGGCTCAGTATTGCCTCTGAGGGGGCCACCCCCCCCACCCCAAGTGCCTTTGCTCTGTTTTTATACCCTGAATGGAGGTTTATTTTTAATATATGTTATCTAAGGAGAGGTCTGCGTGTGTGAGGGCCATGGGGCCCATGTCTGGCTCTGACCCGCGTCACCTCCATGACTCTTGGCTCCTTCCAGGCTGTTCGCTCGTCTAACACTTTTATTTAGTGGGTGGGGGGTGGGGCACATGTGTGCCATGTGAGGACAACCCGTGGGAGCCGGCTCTCCGCCCTCCGCCCGGGTCCTGGCGAGCGGACTCAGGTTGATGACGGCTCCTGCGCCTTTACTGCCATGTTGTCCCATTCACATGTAACAGTGACTGCATACACACACATGGCATATATGAGGTGTGCCCCCCCATCTGGAGCCCCTTGGTCACCCAAAATACCAGGTAGCCCACATCTCACACTCTGGTTCTTTTATTTTTGTAGTAAACTCTGGAAGTGGCTGTGGGACTTCAAGGGGGGGTCAGTGGGGAGGGCCCCCCCCCGGGCAGGGGCTGGGGGCGGGGTTATTGCTCTGAGCTCCCTGTCCCCAGGGGGACCTGTGTGGGAGGATTTCAGGAGAGGGGGCCAGCACTGGATTGGGGACACGGCCACACAAACACGCAGATCACGGCACATAGGAGGTCGGGGGAGGCTGGGCGTCGTATTGCACTTTGAGAGTGGGGCCAGGTGGTTGTCCCCCTCAAATTGGAGCCTGGGGGTAGAGACTGGAGGCCACCATGTCCCTTTCCACTCTGTGGAGAAGGTGTGACCTCCACTCAGGGTTTGGAGGAGGTGCCAAGGGCTGGTCCGAGGCCTTGGGCTGGGGCTAAGAGCAGACCAGACTGCCCTGGTCGCCAGCACGGAACCCACCCTGCACCTGCTCAGCTGCCGCTCCCCCCTTTGCCTGACTTGGTCTTGGGGGCCACGTGTAGACCCTCATCGCCTTCGCTGTCAGAGCTGCAGCCACTGACGTCCGTGATCTCCAGCTCGGAGTCGCTGTCCTCCTTCCCACCCAGCGCAGCCTCTGGACCTCCAGCCCCCGGCAGAGCCAGACGAGGGGCCACTGCCAGCCCCGAGGGGCGCTCAGGGCCCAGGCCCTCCCCTGTTGCAGCAAGCAGGGGCGCAGCCATGGGGCCTCCCCCTGCCCCTGCAGAGGGCAAGTGGCCCAGGGAACCCAAAGGGTTAGGGTAGAAGTGAGGTGGGTAGAGAGAGGGGGGCAGCTTGGGGAAGGGGCCGGTGAGGTATGGGTTAAAGTTCCAGGGGTACTCAGGGAAGGCTCGGCCATACGGACCCAACAGGCCTGGGGGCTTGGAGTAGCCGGTGGCACCTGGCGGGGGACGTGGGGGGACATAAAGAACAAGTCAGGCTGGCCCACAAGCCATTGGGGGCCTGCTTGCACGTGGGCGTACCCCTGCATGCTCTCCCCGTCGCCTCCCACCTCTCCCCCACTTCACCTCCATTTTCTCCCTATTCCTTTAACCTGTCTCCCCACAAAACCCTCCCTGCCAGCCCCCTCCCCGCACCCCGCAGCTGCTCAGCAGCTGGTCACTGCCTTGCTGGTTTTGTGAGATGTCCAGTTGTGTAAGCCAAGCTGGCTTCCCGCTTGTAATCTGCCTGCCTCGGCTTCCTGAATGCCGCGTGCAGCCCAGCTCGGCTCTGACCTTGGTCTTTAGCTTCTGTGTCCCTCTGCTGGGATCGCTGCTGTGTGCGCCATACCCAGCTGCCTCGCTGCTGGTAACCCCAGGCTTCCTGCAAGTTATGTCCTCACCCCACACAGACACACCCTAGCCTGGGCATCCCTGTCCTCTGCAGTCCTCTCTGTCCATATGAGCAGATCCCCTCAACCCCCAGGCCCTTACCAGAACCCAGGAATGGGAAGGGGCTGTCCAAACGTAGTTTATCCGTCTCTGGGGAGAATAGGGGTGCCCGACCCCCTGGCTCTCCCAGGCGTGGGGTGGAGAACAGGGTCTGCAGGGTCTGGAGAGGAAAGTAGGGAAGGGAGCTCTGCTTAGCCCCCTTTGTGGGGAGGATCAGGATGCAGGGGACACTAGACACCCCACTTCCGGCCCTCACACACCAGTATCAAGCTTACCTCAGGGGTCAGGGGTGGAGCATCTGGCCCGTGTGCCCCCCCAAAGGGACCTGGGGTCAACAGGAGTGGGGAGCCGGTGGCGGCGGCAGCCACATCCAGCAGTGGGTAATTAACAAGAACAACTTTGCTGAAGTTGAATTTGTAAGTGAACCTCTTCCCTTTGGTCTTGTGGAGAATCCGCTTGTTGTAGTAGTAACTGCGGGAGAGAGGACGGGTACTGGGGAGGGGCAGGGAGGGTGAGGCAGTAGCTGGGCTCAAGTTCCTGTCGCCTCCCCCCTCCCAGCTTCCACTCACAAGTACTGGATCCAGTGGCATTCAGTCCTAGCATACAGGGGAGCACCCTTGGGGACCAGAAGGGACAGGGGAGGGAGAAGAGAGCATGATGGGAGCCTGGCCCACTGCCCCTCCTCACCGCAGGGCCCGGCTCAGCTTGTCATAGTTCATGTGGGGCTTGCACTTGCGGATGCCCCAGAGGCGGGCCACCTCATCGGGGTCCTTGATGACAAATTCCCCGTAGTCCCCCTGCCAGGCGATGACACCCTGGTACTCCTCCTTCTGAAGCAGCTCCAGGATAAAGTGCCACAGCTGGATCTGCCTCGAGCCAGGGGAGGACTCGGGCTTGTAGGCCCAGTCTGGGAAGGCAAACCCTAGGGACAGGAGACAGGGAGGCCTTAGGGTTCGGAAGCTGAGGTGGGCTCTGGAGTCTGCAGCCTGGGATGTTCAGTCTCTGAGGAGCCTCTTTAGGGGCCTGTGTGTCCCTCTTCAGACCTCCCATGCTGAGTCTGCTCCGGAAGTCGCCTAAACAGCTGCAAAGAGCCCCTCCGTTTGTGCTCCCAACATTCCTCGGTGCAGTCTCCCCAGGTTCAGCCAAGGAAGGGGGGGGATGGAATTGAGAGGGACACATTTACTGTATCCATGGCTATGGGGGGAGGGGCTGGAAAGGGTGCACCCTCTGCAGTGATGGCCCTTAACCCCGCTCCCCGTCAGGGGCCTTTGACATTTCCTGTGTCCTGATAGCTCCTGCAGTCAATCAGCCCATTCCCGAAGGGCCCTCTGGTGTCACCCTGGCACACGCTCAGCCCGTATCCGTCTGTGTACCTGCCTTTAGCGTGTCTCTCCAGTGTGAGGCTGTGTCTACACGCAGGCACAGATCTATAGGTGACCATGGCAGGACACATCACACAGACACTTGCAGTGTTACCCTATGGGACGCAACCACACCCAAGCACCACACCTGCTGGGGCACTGGCACAGACACCAGATATAGGCCGCCTAAGATACCAGGATCCCAAAACCCACCCATTGCAACATGCACAATCACATGCTAAAGGCCTCTGTAGGGGCCGACTGACAAGTGTGTGACAAGGAGACACAGGAGCCCAACAGCCTAGCTAACACCTGGTGTGACAGAGAATGAAGCCATGAAGTCCCCAGATAGACAGACAGACACATGACAACTGAGTAACTTCTCACGGCCACATTCAGGCAAGTGTATGTCAACACTGGTGTTTACCTCACCCCGGCAGGGGCGTCTGGATCCACTATCCATATGCACCTAGAAGCCAGGAACAGAGACCTTGCCCACCCCTGGTCTTCCCAATCTAGAAGGCTCTGGGTCCCAGTGTCCACAGCAGCTTCTACATCATCTTCCATTTCCTACCTGCGCGCGGCCCAGGCATGAACACATGGTTCGATCTGGTCTCTAGCAAGCTGAGAGCAGAGCAACAGAAGGGGAGAAGACTCAGGAAGCCATCACAGAGTGGGGTATGACAGAGACTGTTGAGCTGGGTCTCTGTATCCAGTTGCTGTGCAGCCCGGGGGAAGTCCCTTGCCCTCTCTGGGTTGAGGTTCCAGAGGCAGGAGTCAAAAGGAGCAGAGTCTCACCCAGGCTGCCCTCTGACACGTAAGTGGGCAGGTGATGTCCCACCTTGGAAAGGACAGGCATTCTCACCACTCCCCATGGAAGAGGAATTTTAATCTGGGCCATTCCCAGCTCAGGTGCCATGTCTGGATGGACACTGGCCTAGCCGTACCCATAGTACACTTCCTGGGAAAGCCATTGCATCACAAACACATTTGCACAACCAAAAGACCAGGGGATTCACCGGAGAGAGGCTCTGCTACTGCAGGCAGACACAGACAACTCCATGAACCAGGCAGAGGGAGACACAGCCCCCAAACCAAGGCCACATACCGATATTCATGCCCAGGGTCATCTACCCACACACTCCAAAATGTACCTCAGCTACCAGCTGAGAATGTCATGGACTACCGGAGACAGACATACCCAGTCCCCTTACCCCCAATCGAAGCCGAGGCACACAAACTGTCAGACAGCAAATGTATACATGCATGACCCTGAAATGTAGAGTCCAGGGTCACTCCCGTGGCCTCCACGGTCCAGTCCTGTGTAGGAGGCACACAAAGTCTCCTACAGACACTTGCCCTCTGTGACCCTTCAGTAACCCAAGTGTGATGCACGCCAGCACTCCACAATGGACCTCCATGCAGCCAGCCAAACGGTTGCTCCCAAACACTCCCGCTAGTGACCCCTGCAATGCCCAAACAGCTCCTTTTTCTCCAGCCTGAGCATCACCTCCTTGCAGCCTCTCCTTAGCTGTGTGCCTCACCTCGTGCCTAGCCTAGAGCTCCTCGGCAGGTCCTGGGTAGGTGCAGGCTAGGAGCACATGGCAGAGAAATCCCAGATCTCAGCCCTCTTAGTCCTCATCCCTCTCCATACCTCGCCCATCCTCCAAAAGACCTCCAACTCTTGTGCCCCAGCAAGCATGTGGCAGGGAGAGAGAGCCGCGAAGTTCCTAGTCAAGTTTCTCCTGAAAGGGTTTGTGTTCAGGGGACTGACGGAGGAGACCCAGACAGACAGGTTCACAGGTGCATAAGACAGATGGGGGGGAAAGGGGGAAGCTAAGGAGCGGGGTGCAGCCCCTGGGAGGGGGAAGAGCTATGGGGATGGACAGGACAGTTACCAGGGGTCCAGAGAGCCGGAAGGGCAGGCGGGGCGAAGAGAAGGTCTGAGACGCAGCTACAGTCCATGGCCGAGCGAGCCCTGCAGAAGCGGGACAGGATAGCGGGAGAGAAGCAGAGACAACAGGGTCAGCCAGGGGGTGCTGTGGGACCCCCTTCCAGGCCCTCAACCTGACCTGACGCCAGCCAGCCCACCCCGCTGCCCTCAGTCCCACAAGCTCCCTTCCAGCAGCCCCAGGGCCCCTAAGGAGAGCCTCGGTCCTTCCCTCCTCCTTGTCCCCCCCCACCCGGTCCTCTTCACTCTGGTCCAGCATTCACCACTCACTGGCGGCAGGCAGGCGGGGGGGGGGGCTCTCAACACCCTCCACCCACCTCCTGCTATCCTGCCCCCCCACCTGAGCTCTGGGGGAGTAAGGGGTTGATCCCCGGGTCCCTGGGTCTTTCTGTCTTCCTCTGCGTGTGGCTCTCTCCAGCTACTTCAGATTTATCGCTTGGAAACACAAACTCGCCCCCACCTGGCTGACCCCCTCCCCCGCAGCTCCCTCTCTGTCTCACGCTGGCTGCAGCAATGGCCAGCTCAGAGATGGCAGGGCTGGGTATCTGCTAGCCAGTCTGGAAGGAGCAGGCCCAGCCCGTGCCTTTCTTCCCAGGTAGACACTACCCCCACCACACACACACACACACACACACACACACACACACACACCTTAGACACCCCTAGTCTGCCCTCTGAGCCCACAGACACCTGCCCTTGTCTCAAACCTGCCCTCGCTCACCAAGGTTCTCCGTCCATCCTTACCCCTCAGGTCCCCTTTCCCCTGCTCAGGCACCCCTTCTAGAAGGAGCTCCAACCCCACCCCCAGCCCTTCCCCTTTCTCCCAAAGTAGAGCCACCCAAACCTGTGGATGGACAGCAACGGAGCCCATGGATCCCTGCCTCAAACCTGCTGTTCAAAGAAGATTCTCCAGACCAGCCAGCCTCCCTATCAGATGCTCCCTCCCCATAGACCCCCCCAGACACCTGTCTACCCAGGCGGGCACTCCTCCTCAGATACCTTCCCCTCACACTGGCCTCTCCCTCAGACACCAGTGCCCTCAGATTGGCACCCCACATAGACACCCCTTCCTCGACTGGTCTCTCTCGGACACTGCTTCCTCGGACATCATCTCCCCCTCAGGACATTCTTTCCCCCTGGATCTGCCCCCTCCCTGCGCATGTCCCCCAGAAGCCTGCTTCCTAGATACCTTGCCCCTTCCTAAGCACTGCCCTTCGATGCCTTCACCCTTAGCCGTCTGCCCCCTCACACTCACTGCAGATACCCTTAGCGAAAATGTCCTTTAGCCGTCCTGCCTGCACTCGGAGTCCACCACACCCTCCCTTCAGACCCGGGACTGACTGCACCCTCTCAGACACCCCACCCACGAGGTCTGTAGAACACCCCGAGATCCACACATCTCTCCTATACCAACCACATAGCCATGAGCCCCGCCTCGCCCCTTTGAGTCCCCTCTCCCAGTGTGCAGCCTCCCCCACAGCTCCCCCAACCCCTCCTTGGCCTCCTGGGGTCTCCCCTGCCCTGGCCACCCCTCCCATACTCTGTCTTTCTGTCCCCGCACTTGGCCTCTCTCTTCCCTCCACCTGGAGTGCCTTCCCGCATCTCTCCCCAACTCTACTCCCATTCTCTGCCACTGCCCCCTCCCGCACGCACTGTCTCCTGGCCCCCTACCCCTATTTCCTTCTCCACCCCCCAACTTCATCCACCTCCCCACGCCCCCTCTCTCCCTCCATCTCCCTGATCTGTCTTCCTCCTCCTCCTCCTCCCTGCTCCCTCCCTCTCAGCCCCGCCCATCCCGTCTCTCTCCCGCGTGTCTCCACCGTCTCTATCTCTCTCCCCACACCCACCCCCCATCCCACTCCCCCCTCCTGCTCTCGCTGCCTCTCTGGGTCCCCCCTCCCCCACCCCCACCCCCACCCCCCATTGGCCCCTCTCATTTCCGTGTTGGTTTTGATTTCTCTTCCCAACGCTTTCAACTCCCCGCCGCCTCCTCCGGACACGTTATAACGAGGAGCCGTGGGATCGGCGCTCCGGGCCCTGCTCCCACGCTCCCCCCCCCCGTCGTCTCTCACACACATCTCTGCCTTCGTGCAGTCTCTGCTGCCACTTTTCCCCTGGCTCTCCTGTGTTTAGTCTCTGTCCTGTGCCCCCCCCGCCCCACGCCTGGTGCTGGCCCCCCAGCTGGGTGCCTGTCTCCACCCATGACCAGCCTTTCTCCGGAGCTCCACGTCTCTGTGTCCCGGGGTCTCTGGGACTTTAGTCTCCACAGGGCTCTTTCTCCATTTCTGGATCTCTGGATCTCCACCTCTCTGCCTGCCTGTCTGAGTCTCTGCCTCTTGCAAAGTCCCCATCGCCACGTCTCTAGGTCTCTTTCAGCCCCTCGGTCCCTCTCTTGGGACCCCTTTGATCTCCCCATGCCCCTGGCGCCCCCCTGGCCCCATTGATTGCTGATCGACCCGAGGAGGAAGTAGGTCCCGCGGCCTGGGGCTATAGGGCCAGGCAGGCGCTTTGGCAGAGCCACCGGACAGACAGATGGACAGAAGGCCCCAGCCCCAGTGGCTGAAGAGGGGGAGCAGCCGCTTCACGCGCCCCTCCCCACCGGCCGGCGCGGTGCGGATGGGGACTCCGGGCAAGCTTTAATTTTTAATTTTATTTTGCTTCCTCCACCCCCCTCACCCCCATCTCCAGCGCCCGCAGCCATGGCACCGAATGTGTGCGGAGTGAGGCAGCCGGTTGGAGAGAGGGGCTGAGTGGGCAGGGGCTGCCTCCCTCTGCTCCTCACCAAGCACAGTCACACAGACCCACACCTTCTGCAAGTACCCAGTTCGCATCACACAGGCCAGCGAAGTCACACAAACAGTGCCGCCACCATCACACGCAAAACCCACTCTGTATCAACAGAGCCACACACATCCCCATAGTCACATACAACCCGTGCAGGGCAGCCCGCCCACATCATCGAAGTCCCACAGTAGCAGCATTGTCACCCACGACAAAAACAGACACACGGTCTGACTAGACTGCCGCATATTAACACAGGCACACTGTCACTCATCAGTGCCCACAAATACAGAGACACAGACCTTCAGTCAGAGGCACACAACTGCGCATAGACATTGTCACAGAGAAACGGAGACACACCCAGACCCAGAGGGGCACAGCCAAGTCAGCGGCAGACACAGAGTCACAAAGGCGGGCCCCACACACATGGGCCCCATGCAGACGGACACACAAAACACCCCTGGCACAGACTGACTGACACAACAGTGTGGCAAACTCCGGTGGCCACACTCATGGCAGACACATGGCCACAGGCCCAGTAACTGAAGTGGTCAGCAGCCCCCACCCCCAGAGAGGGGAGACCTAAGCTCATGGGGCCTCTCGTAAGCGCCCCCCCGCCCGAGTGTGTGTGTGTGTGTGTGTGTGTGTGTGTGTGTGCCTCATACTGTTCAATATTCAAACACGTCCTCCTCATTGTCTCTGTCTGTCTGCCTGTCACTGAGGGTCTGCTGTTGCTCTCTGTGTACCTCTGCTTCTGTCTCTGGGTAGTCTCTCTGTCCCTCTGGGCCTCTCTGCTTCTGTCTCCTCACCCCATCACCCCAGCCCCCTGGGCTGGGGTTTAACCAGTTGTTTTGATTTCTCTAAGCTGCGCTGGCTGCCTCGAGAGCTGCCTCAGGCCTCACACCGCCCCCAGCCCCTTCATCCCTCACCCAGCCCCCCCCATCCCCACCTCCCCTTAACACAATCTGCACAAGTGGAATGAAAATTGATTTTTTTTTTAAATTTCATATCTTCTCCAGGGCTCTGTCTAAAGAGGAGAGAGACGCGGCCCAAGACCCCTCTCCTACCACTGCCCCCGAACACACACACACACACACACACATACACACACACACACCCTGGAGCATACACCCTTTTGCACACCACATGCCTGTGTGGACACGTGTGGACACAGTACAGATGCACAGCCATGCTGCTCAGCCATGGACACACACACATGCACACCCCTAAACCATGGGCATGCTGCTGGGCCTGGACTATGATGAAGCCTTGCGCATGGGCAGTACACACCCTGTCCCACCAGTGCAGAGCTGTGACCCCTGCAGTCACTTACCACAGGAGCGCCTGTGCTCAACACACCTGTCTCTGCACAGGTTCTAGGCATGTTTGGTGTATACAAAGCCTGGCTTGGCGGCTGCTCCCCCGTAGACAGCAGGAGGTCTATGGCTGTCCTGGCAAAGGGAAGTTCCTAGAGGCAGCTGTCATACCAGTACCTGCCACCCTTGTGTCAAATTTCACCCAATTTCCATCCCTGCTCTCGCTCTCATCAACCAAGTGCTCTGGGCTGGCCCTTAAGAGGGAGTCACTCTGTGGCAATAACCCACACTTCACCTCCCACATACTACACACATCATATACATACTACACACATGCAACGTATCACACACACACCATATACATACTACACACATGCAACATATCACACACACACCCCATGTACAGCAGATTGTATACTCTCCACATACATGCTGTACACATACCATATACATACCACATACCACTATATACTCCTTCTACATACTGTGCATACTATACACATAGCAATGACACACATTACATATACCACACCGCACTCCCATGCAAACATATACAAGTCACATATCTATTACATAGTATATGTACACATACCCTTGACACACACATACTATACACACAGACCACATAGAAACTACATACCACGCAAAGACACAATCCACTTGGTATGTGCCTCAACTACCACATGCCATCCATGCTACCCCCATATTACATACAGATACCACATTCCACACATCACACACAGATGCTGAACACATGACACAGCCTTTGCTACCTCTTAGGGACACACAAACATAGGACATGCCAGAACTGAAACCCCCTTAACCTCTATGTTCACCCATGACACACAGGTCCACACATTCTCACATGTCACCATAAACACAGGATTGGCACAAGTTCACACTGTATACACATGCAGCATCCAACAACCA